AAAAAGGTATTCATGGTAGTATCATTTATAATGGTAAAACCCTGAAAGCAATCTGACTGTCCCCCAATAGAGAATAGGTTGAATAAGTTACGGTACATAACTCAGTGAGGTAAGAAATTACCTTTTTAAACAGTCAATCCAAACACAGCCATATGAGGAATAGAAAGATATATCATACATATACACATTATTACTTTCACATAAAATTATGAAAAATAGATGTTTCTTGAAATTATATTTCTATATTTAATTTTCTATTCCTTAAATGCATTTATTTAAACAAAACAATAGAACTAGTTAACAGTAATGATTAGTAATAATAGATAGTAGGAACAACTAATTAAAAATGTGTGTGAGCCCTGACCAGTGTGACTCAGTTGGTTGGGCATACTCCTGCAAATCGAAAGGTCCATGGTTTGATTACTGCTCAGGGCACATGCCTGGGTTTCAGGTGCAGTCCCTGGTCAGGACATATATGAGAGGCAACCAATTGATGCTTCTCTCTTGTGTTGATGTTTCTTTCCTCTCTCTCTCTCTCTCTCTTCTCCTCTAAAAATAAAAAAATAAAATCTTTAAATAATATATATATGAGAAGACTACATTTATAATGTTATATTATAAACATTATAGGGAAGATAGTTATACATTATTTCCTAGTACAGAAGTTTAACTTTTTAATGACTTTATGGGAATACAAGAGAATGTATATACAATTGAACTAACTCAACTGGTATTGGCTATACTTAATAAATAAAAAATGTTTCTGTTACATGATACAGTAGTATATTTTTATTATTTCCTTTTCTGAAAACATTTCTGTGAATTGCCTGCAGTCTTTAGATAATACGTGCACTGATCAGCAGTGCCTGTGGCATCACGGATGAGACATGAGACAAATTCACATGGACTACCGTGTCCTGCAGAGGAAAAGGGGCGGCACGGCTAGTCCCTCAAGGCGGGAGAGCCTCGGAACAGCCTGGCCACCCTCTCAAGGGGAGAGTGGCTTGGAGCAGCCAGGCAATTCTCTCCAAGGGAAAGAGAGCTGCTGCAGCAGCCGGGCAATTCTCTCACCAGGGCAGAGAGAGGACCTGGACCCTTGCCTAGTTGGGCTTTTATTGGGATTTTTGCACAGGAGTTCAGGTATAGCTTATTAATCATTGTCAAGCAGTAAACAGTAGATCCTATACAAAGAACCATTAAGGTTTCTTCTAAATCAGGGCCTGTCAGCTAAAAGGCTACAGAACTTTGGGAACATAAACTCTTCTGCTTGAGCCCTTATCATCTAACTAAAAGCATTCTTAAACAAAGCAGGTCTCACAGGGTTTCACTTATTCCTTCTCAAGCCTAATTACCAGGGAGCCCGCCATTCCCAGCACAAGGCTTGCACCAGCTTCCCCATCATAGGGTTTTAGGCTTAAGTGGATTAGAGCCAGGAAGTGCTTCTCCCAGAGGACATGGGGACTCGGGCTTTGTCACAGCTTGGGGGAGAGGGTCCATCACTCCCTCTTTGTTGCATCCCCCCCCCCAGTCCTTCCATGATGGCCTCCCAAGTGATCGTGTCTGGCCTCTGTTGCCCCTGCTCTGAGGGGTCTCACCTGTATCTGACCATCCGACCATACTTTGGGGGCAGGGAGATGAACCAGGGGCAGCATCTGCTGCTAGAGACAAGCCTTGTCTCCTCAGTGGCTCGCATTCCAGAGGTCGCTCACAGCCTTAGACACTGGAGATGGTTTACAATTTCTGAAACCAGACAGGGTGGTCCCCAACATTTAGGGACACACTTAATTTCCTTTACGCAGTGGTAAAACTAAATACGGTCAAATTATAAAAGCAGTTCTGCTTCTTATTTATACACGTCAGAATCAGACTTTTATTTATTTATAGAAATAATTTTATTGTATTTTTCCCATTACCATTTAGTCCCCTTATACACCCTTCCATATCCCAATCACCACACTGCTGTCCATGTCCACGAGTCCTTTTTCCTTTTTGTTCAGTCCCTTGACTCTCTAACCTCCCCAGCCCCCTTAACTATCATTCTCCTCTCTATCTATGAGTCTGTTTTCATTTTTGCTTGTTAGTTCAGGTTGTTCATTACATTCCACATATGAGTGAAATTATATGGTACTTGTCTTTCTCTGACTGGCTTATTTCACTTAATATAATGTTCTCCAGGTACATCCATATTGTCACAAAGGGTAAAACTTTTTTTACAGCTGAGTAGTATTTCTTTGTGTAAATGGCCCATAGGTGTTTTATCCACTCATCTACTGATGGGCACTTCAGCTGCTTACATGTCTGGACAATTGTAAATAATGTTGCAGTGAGCACAGGGGTGCTTATGTTCTTTTGAATTAGTGTTTTAGCTTCCTTTAGATACATTCCCAGAAGTGGGATAGTTTGGTCCAAAGGCAGATCCATTTTAAATTTTTTGATGTATCTGCTTTCCAGTGACTACCCAATGTGCATTCTCACCAACAGTGCAAGAGTTCCTTCCCCCTTCTCCACATCCTCACTAGCACTTTTTGTTTGCTGATTTATTGATGATAGCCATTCTGACAGGTATGAGATGATATCTCACTGTTGTTTTAATTTGCATTTCTTTGATGATTAGTGACGTTGAGCATCTTTTCATATGTCTATTGGCTAACTGTTGTCCTCTTTGGAGAAATGTCTATTCAGGTTCTTTGCCCATTTTATAACTGGTGCTGAGTTTCGTAAGTTCTTTATAAATTTTGGATATCAACCCCTTATTAGATGTATTGACAAATATGTTCTCCCATTCTGTGGGTTGTCTTTATTTTGTTGGTGTTTTCCTTTGCTGTACAAAAACTTTTTAGTTAGATGTAGTTCCATTTTTTTAATTTTTTCTTTAGCAGTTCTGCTTTTATCTAACCCTTGTTATATTTGTTCCTGGCATCAGTTAATATGACATCAAACTAAATTTCCTCTCAACACAAGTGTTTAAGCATGGAATACTTATGATTTCATGAGTCAAGATTTAGACTAACAAGAATTACTTTCTAGCTCTCCAAAAATGCCCAGCAACTCTGTAACTATTGATTTTTTTAGGTGGACCAACTATTTGTTAATCGGTTCCTTTGCATTTATTCATTCATCATGTAGATGTAGCGTATCTAATGTCTAAAATGCCCATCATTCTTCCAACACTATCAAGCATATAGGATGAGGATAAGTTAAATAAGTTAACCTGTTTCTCAGGAAAAAAAAAGTTTTTTACAGAAAAATAATTAGAACTAGTAAAATAAGTTTGGACTTCAAATAAATTAAACACTTAGTGAAGAAATTAATAAAATCTTATTTCACTTGACTGCTTTGTTCTGGTAATTTCTTTCTTTCCAAAAATTGGTGGGGGATTTTTTCTGTACCCATTTTTGTTACAATCTACACATAATACTGAATAACTTAGATGCAATCAGTTCATTCTTTCCTAGATTTCTTGTGGTCTCTGTAAAGATTACCAAATGGTTTTGGAGAAAGAATATAAATTTGTTTCATTGTGATTCTTTTCCACATTCTCACCATCAGTGTGTAATATTTAGTGAGCACCTATTATATTATATGGCAAACACTGCCCTAAATGCTGCGGATACAAGTTTAATCAAAACAGGCAAAGTTCCTTCCCTTTGAACCACATTATCCTGTAAGAAATGTAAAGATGTGTTTTTTGTTTTTTTTTAAACCTACTTTATTGAAGTTCAGCTTGCAAACAATAAAATGCACGTTGTGTTTATTTCAATGCATTTTTACACATACACCACCCATCTAACTAATGATTACCATAATCAAGATACAGAACATTTCCATGACCTCAGATCACCTAGCCCTATTCCAGTTAATCATTTCCTGACACTCCTCTCCCACTCCCCCACCCCACCTCACCTCACCCCACCCATCTCCGCAGTCACTGATGTTTTGTATCACTGTGGTTTAGATTTGAGTTTTTATAGTTTCATATAAATGTAATCATCCTTTTGCGCATAGTCTGACTTCCTTTGCTCAACATTATTTTGAGATTCATGTTATTATATGTCAAGTAGTTCATCCCTCTTTGTTGTTAATTACTATTAATTAAATCCTATGGCTATGCCCGAAGTTCTTTATGTATTCACCATTCAATGAACATTTGGGTTGTTTCCAGTTTTTGATCATTACAAATAAAGCTATGAAAATTAATGTACAAACACGTGTTTTTATTCCTAAGTAAATAGGAGTGGAATTGCTGGATCATATACATGTATGATAAACTTTAAAGTAAAAGACAAAATTTTCCGAAGTAGTTTTAAGCATTTTGCATCACCATCAGCAACATAAGAGGTCCAGTTGCTTGACGTCCTAATCAAGATTTGGTATCCTCTTAAATTTTAATGGGTATGTGGTGGTAAAGATGTGTCTCTTACTAGTCTACTTATGTTACCCCACTTTAAAACTCATTATTTTAGTAGTCATTTTTTTTACTCTAAAACATGTATGAGTTTGAAAGAAAATGGCTGGCTGGACCCTGAAGGTATTTTGTTTCTATTTCCCCTCAGGAAACCCCCAGGCACTCTCCTGAAAACTTAAATCTGGTGTCACGCAGCACTAGCTCGGTAGATGTCCAGAAGCTGGGCTCTTCATTTAAAACCGCAATGGCTAAGGTATACGCGTACTTCCACTATAACCTCGATCCTTCATATCACCCTTCTAAAGAATTTCCCAGGGCGCCGCGAGTGGCTGGGCCGACACCGCAGCCCTAGGCTCCGCCTCTTACCGGGATTTGTCCGCTACCCAGGGACTCTTGCTTGAGGCAGGAGAGGAAAGGTATCTTCCGGTCTCGCGATTGGCTCTACTCCCGCGAGAAAAAAAGACAGCCGCTTACCACCGACTGGTGGCGTTGGTGAGGTTGGTGAGGGAAGGGGAGTGGCCGCAGATCGTGCTGTTTCTAAGAGTGTGGGAGAGGGGGCGGGGTCGCGCGCACCGGGCGTACGCATGCGCGAATGCAGCCGGTCGGGCTGAGCACTGAGGGTAGGGGGCGGTGGCGGCTGCGGTGGCAGCTACGGCGGCAGCAGAAGAGGAGGCTTCGTGATTTCCGCGATCTGGGCGGTGCGTGGCCGCGCGGGTGGCCGTTGCAGTAGTAGGTACGGTTCGCCTGTGAGAAGCCATTGAGACTTCCTGTCTCTCTTGTTTGAGCGCTTCAGTCCCTGCTTGTGTGGCAAACCTTGGGGACGGCAGGTCACCCTGCGGCCCCGGCCCTTCCGCCGCATTTCAGGTAGGAGCTTCGGGTTCCCGGGTGCCCGTTACCCACCGAGGACTCAGGCTTGACCGGTGTTCTCGGGCAGAGACCCGGTACCAGGCGTGCCCGCCCTCTCGCGCGACAATAGCTCTGTCCTTGCTTTCGCGCCTGTGGGGCCGGGCCGAGCTGACCTATGGGGGGGGGGGGCGGGTGCCCGCCTCAGGTGCGGCCCCGCTGTGGGCCTAGAGGGTAGGACCCCACCGTGTGCTCGCTCACGCGACGCATCTCGGCGAGGCTACCTGGTGGCGGCGTCCAGGTAGAGGTTGGCCCAGCAAGCTCCTGGCGGATGAGGAACCACCTTGACTTGCAATGTTGCGAGAGGGGATCCTGTAGCATGCCTTGGTCACTTGCAGCCTGTGTTGAAAGTTGGAAGCTCTAGAGTTGGTTCTGTTTGGGCCAGTGGTAGGATGAGTGGTTTGTGATTTTTCTCCTTAAATAGCAAGAGGGCAAACTCTTTATGAACTCTGGTAGGTGGCTGGCTATTAGTAAATGAGCAGCCGTAGTGTTAATTATTGTGAAATTTAAATTGCGTTAAGGTATGTTTTTGCAATACCAGCCCCAAACTCAGAAGAGCTCTGCTTTAACAGTTTAGTCATATTTTCATCCGGTCCTTAAATACATATAGTTGCAAATGTGCTGGCCATGAAAGCTACATCCTTTCTTTTAAACCAGTATTAATTTTGTAGGCATAATGGTTATGAAAGCTTCTGTAGAAGATGATGATTCGGGATGGGAGCTCAGTATACCAGAAAAGATGGAAAAAAGCAATACAAACTGGGTGGACATAACTCAAGATTTTGAAGAAGCTTGTCGAGGTGAGTTTGAATTTTTAGATTAAAAGTTCAGAATCTGGGAAAGGGTAAAACAAAGTCTTGATTGTGATTTCTGCATTTTCTCAATAAATCAACTCAATAGGTAAGTGTGGTTTATTTAAGTTTGTTAACCACATTTATTCACTCTCTATCCTCTAACTTTTAACTTTCATTTAAAACACATATATATATACACACACACACAATGATGTGTATATATATGTATATATGCATCATTAAATACTGATGCTGAGGCAATTTTTTAATTAGAATTTTATAACTTTTTAAGTAAAGGTTAGAGAATATATAGCAATAATTTTAAAGTGTGGAAACAGGGATTATGTGGACCTAAAGATAGTAGTAATATTGTCTATTTGAAATTCGAAAATGGTCAGATTATATTATTCCCTGTTTAAGATCCTCCAGAGGCTTCCTGCTGCATATAGAATAAATTCCAACTTCTTCCCCGTGGCCTTTATGATCTAGTACCTGCCTGCCACTTTGACTTCTTTTTTTAAATTCTTACTCAAGGACATTCTTATTGATTTTAGAGAGAGGGGCAGGGAGAGAGAAAGAGAGGAAGAGGCACATTGATCGACTGGCTGCCTCTTGCATGTCCCCTGACCAGGGGTGGAACCACAGCCCAGGCATGCACCCTGACCTGGAATACAGCCTTTTGGTCTACCGGACCATGCTCCAACCAAATGGACCACATTAGCCAGGACTGCCCCACTGAGCTCATTATGTTAGTTGTAAGTCCTGCTTATTTCATTAATCACTCAAAGGTGGTCCCCCTTCTTTTGCATGTTTTGTTTTGTATATCTTAAATTACTTTGCCCTCAGTTCTTCACATAGCTTGCTCCTTCCTGACCACTTAAATGTTACCTCTCCAATGAGGACTTGTCAAAACCACCCATCTAAGCAGATTCACCCCTTCTTTTCTATCCAACTCCAGCTCAGTTGAATCGCCCTGTTTTATTCACTTCATAGCACTTATCTAATGTTAGACATCATCATTTTCAGTTAATTGTTTATTGTCAGCTTCACTCACTGTAATGTAAGCTCTGTGAGTGTAGAGATATTGTCAGTAACACTAGCACATAGAACATTTCCTGGCATATAATAAGTTTGATAAATGTTTGGGCATAAATGGAGAAATGAGCGTGTTTGTTGTTTGAGGGGAAGGAGCCTTACCAAGGTGGGAGATTCAAGATACCAGAAAGTAACAAAGATAGAATGAGAACTTGAACATTGAGAGGACTGGACCAAAAACATGGTAGAAAAACTAACTCAGAGCAGAGAACAATAGGGACAGACTGAGACAGGAGGAAGTAAAGTTGGGATGGTAAAGATATACGTATGTTTCCAAGTGGATGGAGAGGAATAGTGGAGGAATTCACACCTTGATGGTTTCTATATTAGTGAACAAGAAGGTTAGGTCTTTGGTGATGTGAGGTGGTGTGTGTTTAGAACAGTGAGTGCTCTTAAGGAGAGGAATGAAGACTTAGAGCATCTGCAGGTGGAAAGGGAAGCATTTGAATTATAAGCAGAATGATAAAGTGCTTACCCTTTGACTGTTTTAAAATGCATGCCCAATTAAAGTATGCCTAAGAGAGATAGTGGAAAGAGCATTAGACTGGGACTTGAGTGACTGCCCATATATGTCTACCTAAGGGGAGAGAGAGAACTTTTAAGTTACAGTGTAGTTTTGGTGCCTGCAGATCTTAGGCTGTTAAGTGGATCAGGCCTATCATCTTGCACTGATTTTAAGTGAACTGTATTAGAGGGCTGTCGTTATGAACCTAAAAGGGGAAAGGTTTTATGAAGTACATATGGCTTAAGTTGGACCTTAAAGGAGTGATTGAGTTTCTCTAAGTGAATATAAGGAAATTATTCTAGACTGACATGAAACATTAGAGCCAGATGAAGCTTTTATGTTTGAGGAACAGTGAAGAATTCTGCTTCTTTGTGGAAGGAACTTAGAGTAGGAGATATGGGTTAATCCTGCTTTGGTGTGGACTGAGAGGAGGTAGTATGTCATTTTGTTGCCATATTAAACCATCCTATTAACTCTTCCATAATGAGCTCTTGCACTCTCTCAGGTGGCACAAATGTGAGGTATACATCTTGAAACCAAAATGTCAACATAGAATTAATCTTCCTCTGCATGTAGATTAGGACTAAAGGCTGTTGGCAGGTCTTGAGCCTGTGGTATTAATAATTTGTTTTCCCCTTTTGAAATAATCATATTTATTGCCTGGATTATAGTTTAGATTTATGTTCTAGAAACTTTTGGGAAACTAAATTTAAAACAGACATCATTACATCCTTTTTCTTTAACTATTGCAGTGTTTTCTCATATTTGGTGACAGTATGATGGCATTTGGCTAGACTTTGGTGCATTTCTTTTTTGTACAGTAAAATTATCTGCATATGGATGGCAATGTTTTCCATGTACATTTCTACATATTCTTTTAGTGACTCTTCAAAATCCTTTGGATCAGATTCTGACTTTCATCATTTATTTTCTATTAGGCACATGACAGGCATTCCTTCTACATTTCCTGTAACTGACCTTGAGGCTCTTGTTTTTTTCTTTCTAAATTACTTTGAGTGTATGGTGCTGTCACTGTTATTATGCATTGTATGTAATAATCTGAAGAACAACGCTGAGCTTTGTTTCTCTAGGAAATCTTGCCTAAAATAGTCTCTGTTCTTCATATTCCATTTGGTTGTCTATATTTAGGTGCTTTCTGAATTACCCACAGCTTAGAAATTTCACTTAAACATAATCATGAAATGCGTACTGCTCCTTCTTCTGCCTGCCAGATTCCCTTCTTCCACATGCTCTCCTAGGATGATGTCTACAACCTGTGGTTGGCTATCATTACTTCCTTTCTTTTTAAGCTCTGGTCTAGGAGGATATGGATCCATCCCTCATCCCATTTTCTTATCTCTTTGATGGCTTAGCTAATTCTTCCTCAGACCATCTTTATTAGAGGTACCATTGTTTAAGACCCTCTTTTTCCATCCAGTTTCTTCAGCTCTTGCCCAGCTCTTGCCCAGTACACTTTATTGCTTTCTTTTCTCTCTTTTAAAATCTAGGTTGCTTAAGCCTTTTCTTTCTCTTTCTGTTTTGTCTTCTCTCACCCAGAACTTTTATAGGTGCTCAATATGTATTTGTTTTAAGATTAAATGAATATTCTAAAGCCATCTTTCTTCAAACCAGAAAAATATCTGGATCTTGCACTTGAGAAGTTTGAGAATCGCAGCATTACATTAAATGCTGTCATTTTGAGTGACTGCTTAGAACCAGCATAATTATGAACATAAGCTCAGACACTGAAATTACAACAATGCTTGGTTATAATATTATCCAGTAGGTCTGGAATATGTTTCTGTAATCTTTTAAAAAGATTATCATTGAACTGATTACACAGCATTTAACAATTGTGGAAGTATACTTGTAGGTTCTTGATAAAACTTTCATGGATTCTTTTTGGTTGCCCATCCCCAACCATGAACCCAAGTTTAAGAATCATTGTTTTAGGAATTTGCAATTGGTTAGTATTTTATTCTAAGAGGAAAAAGATGAACAGAAATTTTTTTGGTGAAAGATCTGGGCAACCTGTAAAGTATTTTTTAAGTGATTTTGGTTGTAGAAATGAAAACTACATTTTCCTCCTTTCATGGAATCGAAAATATTTTCAGTGGTGGGGCATGTGTTGGGTAGGCAGCTGGTTAATTATGGATCACTCGTCGTAACTGTAGATACACTGTTAATTGTGGGTCACTTTAGATCATTGTGTCTCCACCAGTGGTGATCTTGCCCCTCGAGGGACATTTGCCAGTGTCTTGAGACAAATTTGGCTGTCACAGTTGGGGTGGGGTAAGTTGGTACTGATGGCTAGTTAGTATACACCCTAAGGAAGCTGCTAGCCACCCAATGCACAGCATAGCACTTCACTTTCAGAGGTAGGTGGTAAGTCAGGTTGGTTTTTGACTTTCTCCATTGTTGGGTTTATTTTGGACGGCAGTGGGGGATTGCTAAGAAACTACTGGTCTTTCTGTTTCCAGGTTTCCCCAGTTTTGTTGTGCTGTTTCTACACTTGTTTTTCTTCCTTTGAGTTTATACCCGTTTTTAAAAAAATAATCCTAGTTATTTTAATAAGATTTCATAAAGGAATTAAAAGTAGTTGCATGTGCTCAGTTGACCACCTGCACCCAGAGGTTAATTGATTTGTTTGAATATCATTACTATTAAACTGGCCAAAAAGTCCATTGCATTTTTTATGTAAAATAAAAGACATGTTTAATTTTCACCAATAACTTTATTGATTTGGATATTTTGAGTATGTCAGCTATCTCCTGCTGTTGGCTTCTAGTAGGTAGAGGCCAGGGGTGCTGCTAACAGCTTCCAGTGCATAAGACAGCCCCACAGCAAAGGATTATTTGGCCAGGATGTTAATAATACCAAGAAACTTCTCAAACCACTTCTGACACATTTGATCAGTCACAGCACTTTCTCCATACACTGCACAAATCTTTTTCTGTGTGTGTTTCAGTTGTGTTTTTACCTTTCTTGAGATAAAGCCTAATATGCCAAAAATGTTGCAGATTTTCTTCCATCTTTAATATTAAAATGGCTGCACAAAAATTCATCAGTAGAAGTTTTTTTAAAATGCAGGGTGACATAACAGCTGTCACAGTAGTCTATCAAAATTATTTCTTATGAAGTTAAAGACAGCTAAGCACTACTAGAACCATCTTACAGAAAAAAACATACAATGACATTGGATTTCAGTTATATCATGGATTCAATAGATCTAGCTGGGAAGGTCGTCATCATTTGTAATGTTATGTGTAAAAATCTATTCAAAGATCTCTAATACCAGTTTGCAAACAATCTTCTCATTTATGTTATTTTTAGTATGTTTTATTGCTTATGTTATTACAGTTGTCCCAATTTTTTTCCCTTTTATCCCCCTACCACCTTGCACCAC